CCTGCACTTCCTCACGCATTCCTCATCCACCGAGCGTATCGGCGGGGGCTTCCGCAGGGCAAGTCTATCCCTGATCACGGCCTGACTCCCACAAGTGAAGGATGCATCCCCTCGGTGGTGCAGCTGATCCTCGGGCGGGTCTCCCCGCACAGGAGCCTCTGTCGCCGAAGAGGCTGCGGCTCCTGAAGAGGAGGAAGCTGCAGCGGCAGCGCCTGGCGGGTTTCCCCGCGGTGACTCTCGGCTGGCGCTGCCCCTAATCGTCGGCGCCCAGGCACCCCTGGACAGAGCACCTTCATCGGACCTTTTGGAGCGTGCCGCCACAGGCGAGGCTGGCGCAGGGGCGTACCCTGTGCGCTCGAAAGCCTTAGCCTTGCTGGCGATAGATCCGCTGCGACTAGGCGGGCGTCTGCGTACTTCTACAGGTTCCTGAGGTGGCTGTCTGGGGTTCGGTCTCTGTGCTGGAGTTGCTCTAGTCGGTGATCTCGGCGTTTTAGAGCGAGGCTCCTCCATCTGCACATCTGACCCAAGCTCCTCAGAGCGTGCTGTTGTTTTCGGTATCTCCTCCGAAGGCGACCTAGGGGCTGGTGTTTCACTCTTAGCCTTCGGTTGGAGTGGAAGTAGAGGCTTCTTCGCCTCCTTCATGTAAATCTTTTGAGAGTCCATCGGCATCTGGCGAGTTGCCTCGCGGGTGCGTTCCTCTGCGATTCGTCTACGTTCCTCATCTGCCGCAACTCGCTGGGCCTTCTGGTCATCGTTGCCCATCGGTTCTGGCCGTTGGGACTGGCTGGAAACGCCGGGCGAGTTTCCTCGCATTCCAGGAAGGCTACAGAACACATCCTTTTCTTCCTGGGTCATGGGCACCAGTCCCCTCGGAGCCGGAGGAGGCCTAACCTCCTCAACCTTCGGCCTCATATGAACCGTGATCCCGAGACGACGATTGATCTCTGCGATCTCGTCTTGAGTCATCGGGATCAGCGGTGGATGACCCTCCTTATGAGGAGTACGGCCTCTGTTCGGGCTCAAACCCTCGTTGAGCCCTACAGGGCATCCCGGCCTATGCTCCTGAAACGGCTCTGAGCACGGTCCATAAACTGCATTAGGTCTGTACAGTTTGCGTGTTTCGATGATATTTCGCAGCTGCTTTCGTACTTCTTGCATTTCATCAGTACGAATGTTCGTCGCAAGCTGGTAGCCACCGCGCATGGACTTACCCTGAGCGTCTCTATAGGCTGGGTTGCCCTTTCCGAAGGCCGAATGTTCCCCTTTCCGACGTCTAGGGTCATTGTAGGGAAGCAATTGGCCCCCTCGCCGAAGTGCATGTTCCTTCGGGCCAGCTTGCCTCCACTCACGAGGGAGCCGCGCCCGCGGATGAGGCTCTTCTCTGAGGCGTGGATGAGAACGAGACCTCCTGGCACGCTCATCAGAAGAGGCTGCTGACGCAGCCTGAGCGGGAGCCGGCGGGGGCTCCTGCGGAGGCTCCTGCGCGATCCCAGGCGGATCGTCTAACAGAGGCAGGTCTCCCTGCTGGCTGGAGCCCGGCGCAATTGGCGCTTGTGCCGGTGGTGGTGGTGCGTCAGGCTCGTCGGGATCGAAGTCCACCTCTACCTCACCAGTGACCTCCATCATGAGAAGTGTGGTTTCGTCCTCGCACAGCCCGCAACCATCACCCTCTTCATCTTCTGATGTAGGATTGCCAATGATGACGGCCATCGGTACAGCCGGGACGGGCAGGTTTCCCTGCGTAGCCGGCGTCTGAGCATCGCTTGGCTGTCCCGGCGTAGGTGGTACGGTTGTCGGCTCAGGCTCGTTGCCGAGCACAGGCTGCCCGGCGATATTACGCATGGCCGCATGGTTGGGCCATAGTCCCGCCGCCTGGAGACCCCATCCTGGCGGAGGAAGAGCCTGGCCGCGCATGGTGATGGCCCTTTCAAGGGCCTGGCGCCATCTCCCTCTGGAGTACCACACATGCCTCTGCACGTCCTCAGGGTGCACGCTATCAATAAGAGCCAAGGCTGCCAGCACTAACTCCGAGTCGTCGCAGGCGCCAGTGTCCTGCAGCATCATGTTACCAGCTTCGATGCTTTCTTGACGCTCGGGATATGCTATGGTTAATATCTCGTGCATCCTCATGATGGTTTGCAGTAGTGCGCGTGGTCCGTACTCGCCTGGAGCAAGCGAACCAGGGGGTATAAATGGGTCCCCTGGTACGCCCGCAACGAACGCTTGAGACTCCATTTCTACTAGTTCAGCGTGATTTCGAGGATAGGTAGGCTTGTTTCCAGGCACGAGGTCGGGTGGAGGTTGGAGGTTGCGCTCAACCTCTGAAGGCGAGGCCTCTACAGTGACGTCCTCGCCACTGCTCTCGTAGGCCATGATGTTGCCTGGGTTCCCGAACATCCAGCCGAAGAAAGATAAAGGCTGGTTTCCCAGCGTTCCGTGATCCACGGGAGTGAGCTCGTTGTTGCCGACAACGAACCTGCGGAGGTACTCGAGGTAGTACGCGTACAGTCCATGGCCAGACGCCTCGAGCTCGTCGACGTTGTCCATGCAGCTAACCCAAATGTAAAATATCTGTTCCATGGCCTCAAAATCCTGGAGGCTCAGATATTCAATAAATGGTCGATCTGCCCTTTCCATTTCCCTTCGCTGGACAATCTTTCATAAGATGCTCGGTACTATCACACTCATGGCACTTTAAGATCTGGCCGTCTCTACCTCGCTGGTTTCCCCGCCTACCTTTGCCTTTGCCCGAGGTATCTCTACGGCCCTTACCACGGCCTTTTCCCCCGAATAAATATCTCATCATACTGGTCATCTGAGAGCCTCTGGAGGAAGGCTGTGATGCCTCGCCCATTCAACCTACGACGACCCCGTTTGCCTTTACCATTTCCTTTGAAACTCCTCCGTATCTTCCTCCTAACACGACGCACTGGTTTTCGTGCGAACCTCCTCCACCTCCGCTTTGCCTGTTGTAATAACCAAAACAAGTGTTCAGCACGCTGATTATCACTTTCCATATTCCTGATATCTGACCAACCTAAAGCTTCAACACCGTCTGATGATACAGCATCGGCGCCGGTACCGGAGTCGAAATCGTCGTCTCCCAGGTGGGTGGATACACCGTCGGTTAGGGGGTTTGATTCCCCCCGTAGGAAACGGTGGGGTTGAGGTTCTCTAGAAGGAGGGCTGGTTGCCCAGCTTGGTTGTGATCGATCCCCTGCTAGTAGAACAGTGGATTCGCCAGGATCGTCAGCCCACATGCTTGAGGGCTCGTTTCCAGGCTGGGCTTCACTAGTTAAGGTAGTGCAGAAATTCCCACTACCAGATCCCCTTCCCCTTCCAAACACTGATCCTACATTGCCAAGAGACCGTTCTGATAAGTGACCTATCGAACGCATCCTCTCCAGCAACTCATCATACTGTTGTTGAGTTCGGGGCATTTGGTGATTGAGTGGCTGTAAGAGTTGCATGGCTCGCTGGTTGCCGACGCCTAAGGCGCGGAATAGGATCGTAGTTAGTAGTTGGAAGTTGGGAAGATCAAATCCCACCGACTGCGCCTCAAGTCGGGCCATTGCGAATCGGGCGAGGGTGACATCGATTCGTTCTCCGTGAGGCACATGAAAGTCGATGAGCTGTGTGCCGGAAGTGAGCTGGCGCTCATCTTCCAAGCGCTCGAACTTCATGCTTAGGAGGAACATGATGTAGGTCACTCGGTCGGTGTGGACCCCATCAATGTCAGCACCATAGTTTATAATGTCAGGTGGTACCCTCATGGCGAGTGTCCTCGCTAGGCCACCCAGGCCGCGTTGTATGGCGGCCGCTTGGGCCTGTGGCGTCATACGTCCACTTGTGACGTTGAGCCAAGCGTTGGCCTCATAAGCGTACTCGCGGAAAGGTACGTTGCCTTGAGGGTCCCAGTATGGGCCATGTGTTTGCTCATCGGTGCTGTTCTCTCCACGACGCATGTGTCCGATTGCTGCCCCCAGCGCGAACCATATGATGGCGAATATAACCAGCCCAAGGCTGTGAAGATATGGGTGGTTATATATTAGGCGCGTTGCCGCGCTGGGGTAGCGCCCTGTCAAGTCTTCGAGGCGCTTTATCTCGCGGGTCTCCCCGCCTCTGCTTCAAGTACTGCGCTTTTGGCTCGTTGCCGAGCGGTTGGTAGTAGCGCAGTGATGAAGCGTATATGGTACCAATGTTGTCGTCTAGACGTCGTACCTCTCGTGTTGCCTTTTGCTCTTGAACAGATCCTCGTAAATGTACTGGGAGTGGTGGCGCAGGGTGGTAGTTGGTCACGAAGATCGTGCCGTGTAGCGCGAGGATAAGGAGAGCAAGAGCTGACCACACGAGAGTGCGGCCAGCTCCGCTACCAAGTCGAAAGTGACTATGGTAAGTCAAATAACATCCGCTCCCATGGGAATCGAGCGGCAGATAGCGTTCATTGCCCTGCTGGGGTGGTTCAGTATGGGGAATGGACGGATAAGATAGGATAAGATCGATGTAATGATCTTTCCAACACATAGCGAACACTAAGGTAAGTGTCCGGGCAAATAGGGCGCGCGTGCATTGAGCCAAAGGCAACGGCGCGCGAGCTATACTCCCGATTCTGTATAACATCTCCCAAAGAGCTACCCTTAAAGTCCTAAATCGCCCCGAGAGTACCCCAAGACGGCCAAGAGAGGTCGTTCAGACGGCATCCGAAGGCCTCAGACAAGACAAGAACGCCACAAGACGGCCAACGAGGCCGCCTGAGGGCCCCCCCCCAGAGACCCCTACGAGGCCCCCAAGAAGCCTCCCAGGGGCTCCCAGGAAGCCCCAAGAGGCCCACTGTATCCTCCCTCACCTTCTCCTCTCACTCTTCCTCCTCAACATGTTTCCCCCAGGGATTCTGCAACGGCTGGGGTAACAAATTGCCCACTTCTTTGGCAAGACGTCGACCCAACGCTTGGCCACACAGGCGCTTCCAAAAGTCAGGGGTCGGCGGTGGTTCGCGGTAGACGTCTTCGATAAATCTGGTACACGGCGTTCCGCACTTCAAGGAGACCGTCAAGATGCTCGCAAGAGGACTCACACTGCAGTGCAACTGCGATGAAAGCTGGAAGTAGAAGGGGCACCATGTACTTCAAAATCGTCCTGAGAAAGATCCAGAACATAATCCACCGCGTTTTCGCTTGGGCCCGCTGGGCCAAGCCAGCGTCACCAAGGGAGCCGGTTGCCAAAGCGATTGGCAATCGGCACAGGGCCACCCAGGTGGCCCCTTGGGCCCAGCGAATTCGCTGAGTCAAAATGGATTTCATATCTGGTGGAGCCTCAGTCATCACCACAATATCGGCTGGATTTAAGCAACAATGTCCATCTGCAGCCATGCGCACGAGCATGTCGTTGTCCTCATTCAGGCAGTGGCGATCGAACCCATACTTCAGAGCATGCTCAGTGCGCAGTAGCAAGAATGCACCCGTCATCCAGCCAGTGCCAAGGAGGTGTCCGTATCCGATGTTCAGGAAGTGTTTTAATTGGAACTCTGCGGCCACCAAGAAGCTACCAGTGTGGATAGATGTCCTGCCTACGGACACTGCTGAAATCTTCCCCTGGCCCGCCCGAAGTTGTTGGATGCCATTGATCATCGCATCCTCCTGCTTAAAGATGATGTCAGCGTCCATGAAGCAAATCAACTCGGGCTGCGATGCAGGAGGCTTCGCAGCCAGGAATGCGAGCGCGGCGTTCACTCCATCCGTTTTGCACTTCGCATCTGGGACATTCACTGCTTGGTACATTGTTTGAGGAATCATGGAAGCAATCCTCGCACACTCCTCCAGGCATGCCTGCTCCGCCGTGTTTGGTATGGGGTTGTACGTTAGCAGGATCAGGGTGCCCTCGGGGAGGCGAACTCCTTTCCCACCCTCTCCAGCAGGCAGAAACTGGCTGAGCGTGACTGGCAATGTGCCAACCTCGTTGCATATGCGAGCTGCGATGCAAATGCAAAGGGGCGGTCGTGAAGACGTTGAGGCCTGTGTCTGAAACGTAGCTCGGGGCATCACCGAGCGGAAACGGCACCAAGCAATATCCACCATGCCCAGCAGATGAGGTGTAGCATCAGTTAGTGTAAGCGCCGAAAGCCCAGCAATCTGCACGAAAGTCAGCGTATCAGGGGAGAGGTGCGATGACATGATCACTGGCACACCGATTACACCTACCAAGACGTAGAAAATCACCCCAAATGTTTGGCAAGGAGACCCTTGGCGCTTTTTGGCATCTGATCGTATGTTCCACAGCATCCAACAGATTGTCAGTGTGACTGCAATCCAAAGGAAAGCCACGAGGTCCGTCCGAAGAGTAAGTTTTTCCTGGCATGTCTTGAACATTGAGCTGACCATTCCTGTGGTTCCGTCAGGGAGAAGTTGAGCTGCTACGCAGTATTCGCCAAAGAAATGTATGCATGCCCGTGGCGGTGCTGCCGTTGTCGAAACCGACTGCGCATACTCGCCGATCGATTCCCCCGAGTCATTGCTGTCAGGTTCCCCCTCCACGTACGCATGATGAGTGACGCCGTCACGGAGGCCACTACGCTCAGGTCCAGACGCCGTGACCACCACTGATCGACGAATGGCGGCATCATCGTGCACGCTGAACGGCGCGACCATGGAGTGCGATGAGTCCTTGCGCATCAAGACTCCCTTAGATACTTCTTCGCCGGGCTGTCCATGATGAACCCCAGTGACGGTGTTGATACGGTCCAGCAACACAATGATAATAAACGTGCGCGCATGTGTCATGACAGCATGGACTAAGTACATCGAACTGAGAAGGAGTAGGTATGCGTCGAGTAGATCTGGGTGCTGGGAGGAAACAACGTTAGTTTTAGTATATCTGGATTGAGTATATTGAGGGCGTGCAAACAACGTCGGATTGAGCAGATTTGGATGCTGTGCCTGATCCAGGACTCCTCGTCTCGTCAAACTTGAGCCAGCTTGGCAACGGTCACAGATAAGAAAACGATAGGGGAACTATATTCATCAAACGCATCAAGAGCACATCGAGGCGCGTTAACTTCATGCTGGTTGGCTGGTAGGATTTCTGGAAACTTGCAGGGACGAGCCACCTTGCAGTTTCACCCCGTAGAAGGGCGCCCCATGGCTACCAGTTGGTTCCTGGATAGCCCCAGGCCACCCCAGGACGGTAGGAAGACGCCCCACGACCAGCTCAGACCTGCCGTAAAACTCCCCAGAGGCTCCAAGATGTTCCCAAGAAGCTGCCACAAGCCTGGCTAATCTCCAGAGAGGCTCCCGGGGCACCCGTGGTTCTCGGCAAGGAAGCTCGCAACCAGCGTTTCGCGCGGGGGCACGTGCAATGGCAAAACCGCCGAAACCCTAGCAAATATGCACACACGTGCAAATCACATCTAAACATACATGCACAAGGGCTTCTCTTGAGGCCCCTTGTGCGCATGCTCCTGGCTCTTGCGGCCCGTTGGGCAATATTGAGCCTTCTGCGCTGCTTCGGGGCCCTGTTGAACTGTCATAGTGCCTCCCTTGAGGCCTTCTTAGGCCATCTCCGGAGGCCTCTGGCGAATATAGTTTACGAGCCGCTCGGGGGCATCTGAGCAGCATATCACGAACATCTCGGGGGCGTCTGGGGCTCTCTTCGGCCGCCCGGGTGCGTCTCGGGGACCGTTGGCGGCTCTTTTGCCCCGTCTCGGCAATGTGTTTGTCCAACGCTACTTTGGGCGCCATCTTGGGCCGACTTCGAACCATCTTGAACTGTCTTAGACCCCTTCTGGAGGCTCTCTTGAGCTGTCTTGTGGGCCTATCGGGGCACTCCTGGACCGCTTGGAGCTGTCATTTGGGCCCTCTTGAACCGTCTGGGAGCCCTCTAAAGTAATCTCGGAGTTGTACTGCACCGCAAACCCGGAACCCCTGAGAAACCTTGAATATCAGTCAGGGCAGACTACAAATAGATCAGACGACTGACATGCAGTAGACTGGAGTGGACGGAAGTAGTCTGGACTGGAGTAGATTGGACTAAATTCGGGCGGACTCTACTCTTCTCGACTCTACTCGACTCTACTTCCTCTCTACCCTACTCTACTGTTCCATTTACTCTACTCTACCCTACTTTGTTTTTTCGTTATGATTTATGTTATTGTCTTCCTTTTTTTCTCACCCTACTCTACGCTACCGTACCCGACTCTTCCCTACCCGACCCAAACAGAATGTACTCGATTATACTCCCACTCTAGCCTACTACTCCACCCTACTCCATCGAGGAAAGGACCTTCGCACCAGCACTGGCGGCGCTCAGCGAGACCAGGAAGGCTTTCCTCGACCAGGGCCTTCCGCAGCCAGGTTCGCTGTTTGAGCAGGAATCCAGAGTCAAGAAGACCGGCCTCGAGAAGGTCACGCGATGGCACGACCAGCGGGGCTTCGACTTCGACCTGACGGCACGCGAAATCACTGGCACGGCTGCCTCATCAGTCTCGGGCAGCATCGGGCTGGGCGCGAGGAAACGCTGGGCCGCGGCCACACGCAACGCTCACTACATCCAGCAGCACAGGGTGTTCACTCGGATCATCATGGCCGATGACAAGGCGGGGATCGACGCCACCAGTCTACCTGCGCGACGGGGACGGGCCCAGCGACAGCAACTCCTACATCCTATGGGACCTCGCCTCCAGGCTGAGGGAGGCCCACCTCCCTTGGACTGTTGCAGGTGACTGCAGCACGGAGCCGCACCACCTGGCAGGTCGGGGGGACATCACCGGAGGCCTCCTGCTCGTCACAGGGAAGGCCACGTGCAGGGTTGGCGCCCTTTCCGAACTGGACGTCGTCGCCGCCAGCAAGGAGCTCCAGCCCCATTTGCAAGCGCGCGGGCCAATCCCCAATGCGCCCGGGGGGCCCCCGCTGCCCAGTCCTCTTCTAGCTGCACGGGCTCGAGGAGAACAAGTGCGTCCAGCAGATCAAGAAGGTGGCCAAGTTCCCATTCGACAGGCCGATCGGCTGCCAGCCCGCGCCACCCGCGGGACTCTGGGACTGGCCACCAGGCACGAGGCCCCCAATGCCTGACGCAGCCATGCGGCAGGGGCGGGGCGGCGTTACCATGCTGCACTGGCTCGCCCTCGCCAAATGAAAGCTGGCGTCGGACAGACGGCAGGCAGGGGGGACGGCCGACAGCACCACCACAACAAGTAGCACTGCAGCTTCCTCCTCATGGGGATCAACAGCTGGTAGAGCGCATTACCCCAACCGCTCCAACGCTACGACTACGACATCCAGGCCCCCGTGGCCAGGGCAAAAAAAACTTTGTGCCTGGATATTGAAAATGCCTGCAACATGTTCCAATATAGTCTCGATTATCCCTGAAGGTAAATTCCGCGAAAAAACTCAGGGGGGCCCGCCGAAGCCACGGCACGGAAGGAACGTTCCGTTAAGCGGATAAGAGAGAGATATGCGCGGTAGGGAGGAGGCCGGCCGGCCGACGACACGACAACGATGAGGGGGCGACCCCACGCGCGCGCGCAAGCCAGCTCGCTCCTTTATCCTATACCTCTTGAATCTGAGTGGCTGCAGACGACTAGTCAGTACAACAGCAACGATGGCAAGGGCAACAAGATGGCGGCGCGGAGAGGAGCGCATTAACTCCCCCCGCGGCGGGGTGAGTAGGCCCGCGTCGACCTACACCCTCACGGCCTGCAAATATGTACACCCACGGGCACCAACCCCAAAAAGCCTTCACGGCTCGACCGTGGTTGCAGAGCGCCCGGCCGAAGCAACCCGACGCGCCCCGCCCGAGCTATAGCTCATGCCAGCTCATTTCTTGAAGGTCTCCCGCACCTGTCGCACCCGCGCCACGTCGGCGGAGCCGAGCAACGCGGCCCCGATGCCGACGGAGTCGCACCAGTGCACCTGCAGTAAATTATCTCCACCAACACTCTTCTCAGCGATGCTGGCGATTCCAATCGCGGCCAGACCGCCAGCTCCACTGAGATTGATATTGTTGGCGTTGTCCATGGTGGTCTTTGCCTTGTCCATGACCCCAGCCAAAGCTCTGGTCCTCGTTCTGGCCCTCGTCGGCCGGCCTCGCCTCGGGCGCAGGCGGCGGCGGCGACCCAGGCAGGGGCGCAGTAGCCGTTCTCAGTGCCTCTCGAGCATGCGCATCAGGGACGGGACTCCCGCAGGTACTTGCCCGGTTCCATGCGTCCAGGCTGGGCGGCGGGGCGCCCACTCTCTCCCCGTGACTCATCTTCGGGCTCACTCGCGAAGTGTCGATTGTATTCCTCCACGGTGAACCAGTGCCACGTCGATGTGCTCGTAGTTATCGGTTCGTGGCGATCGGCATGAACCCAGCATCCGACGACGCGGTCGCCGTCGCCCTTGTCGGCGCAGTCCCGCAAAGGGTCCCAGCCGCCATCGCGCCCGCGGCCGTCTACATCACTGGCCGATCCCACTCGTTCCATCCAGTGGGGAACTCGAGCGATATGTTGTCGCGGTTGGGATTGGCGTCCGACGCGGCTGAGCCGGTGGACCTTGGGATATATGGGCTGTGCCTGTAAGTGCGCCTATCCTGCCAACCAGGCCAAACGGCCCCTGCGAAATGCGCAGGACGTTTCGGAGGTGTCGTAGGCCCCCGCTCACCTTCGACAGTTCTCGTATCGTCCGGCGCTTGTGGCGCATTGGAAACAGACGCCATTTCGGCGCTGCCCGTTGAGTCAGCATAACCGCCATGGGCTGTTACTTCCTGCTCCGAAGCGGCGGAGCCGCCAAGAGCATCAACACCTGCTCCCGGGGTTACTGGCCCTCCAGGGGGCTCGATATCAGCCCCCGACGCGACTGGGTCGCTAGGGACTGCAGCGGGCGGTTCGGCCAAGCCGACCGCCGCAGTTTTGTTCATTATGTGTCCGATGATGCCAATTGCTGCACCCGCAACAAAGTGTCCATATCGGCCGATGGCCAGCCAGGCTTTCGCCATGGATGTAACACCACCAAGGGGGTCCATGAACTCAACAGCAAATTGAATGCCACCACAACGACGCCCAACTTCACGACGGACTTTACTGATCAGGCCTTCAGTCCGCGTCTCCAACAAGCCTGACGATGGAATCGCCGACCTGATGCGGCTGTCCAGCGCAAAAGCGCCGGTCAACCTTCGAGCAGAGCAAGGATCTACAGCGCCCGCAGGGCGCTGTACTTCTTGGCCAGGGAAAGCGACATGAAGCCCTTCTGCCATAGAGGATAATACGATCTCACGAATAGCCAGGAGAACTCTTCCCCATCGCTGATGCGCTGGCCCATTCCTGCAGGGTTCCTCCCACATTATGTCGATGAGTTCGATCGGTCCAGGGGGCAGATCGTGAATCACGTCTTCTTTCAATCTCGTCGCTGCGCCCGGCGGGGCGATGTACTCAAAAAGGAATGGGGCGGCAATGTTGTGAGCATCGCGCCGACTGGTGACGACGTGAATTTGTCCATCTTCACGCTCGATATGGCGGTTGGTGCTTGAAAGTTGCATTGGGCTGTCCGGTTCACTTCGCATCGCATCGGATATGTCGCCCACAAAAGGGAATGATGTCAAACCAACATGGCATGTGAAATCTAGGAGACTCCATCTTGAAGCGCCGTGCGATTATGTTTCGGGACAGGATGCCCCTGGACCCTTCTGCAAGGTTTTCACGAAACAAAATTGACTCTGCCGTCTGGCTGGGCCGGGTGCAAAGCGATGCAATTGCCTGATAGTTGACAGTTCCAACGGCAACTGAACCTGCTCATCGATGCGATTTAGCCGTTCGGTGAGCGCATCAATTGCTGGGACTTGTACGCTGATTGCTCGCATGTTCCACGCCCACTCATCCCATCCTTCAGCTGGCTGGGCCTGTTGATCATCTACGTCAGGCCATTCAAAAACGGCGAGGGCAGGGCATTGAAACGGGCGACCATACTGATCGACGTCCGAAGACCACACTAATGGCCACCATGTCGCC